AATATATTTGTAAGCTATCTTTCTTAAATCTATACATTCATATTCCGATTTACACCACGTTAAGTTATATTTGACGATGTCCTCTTCAATTAAAAATTATTTCTACATGTCTAATGAAGATCACTTCTATAGATAACTATTGAGATGATGGAGAAGACTTGCAGCTCAGGTAGAGTTTTGTTCTCTAAGTTGGATGGTTTAGGGTTTAGTTCAGAGAACAAAACTCCATCAACATTGATAACTAATAAAAAAATATAAAGTTGACAACTGTCACAAATCGTTTTTATCTCGTGTATTCCATAAGAGTAAATATCAATCAAGGAAAGTATTAAATGTTATCATTGATCCCAGGGAAATATGGTATTTTAAGCAGTCAGATTGTTTGTTATATATAAAAAGAAAATAATATTTTAACAGTTGAATTCACTAGTTCATCTGAGCTAGATCATCATTGAAAATCTGGAAGTATTAGATGGTTGTTTCGTCCCAATATAGAACTTCTCATCAGTACGTATTCACGATTTGAACCTAGGACCTTCGATTTCTCTAAGTATTCAATGATGGTTTAGCTTAGATCAACTTGTGAATTCAACTGTTAAAATACAACAATCTCCACAAATCCTTATCTTACTTACTTACGCCTGTTACTCCTTGTGAAGGAGCATAGGCCGCTCACCAGCACCACAAATCCTTATACTGAAAATTAATATTTGACTGAAATACAATGTTTTCTGTAAGCTTTGTTTCAAACACTGGTTAATTCTATTATGTACCTTTTTGCTCATGATTACCTATATATCTGATATGTTTATCGTTAGTAGACTTTAATGACCAGAGATCTAGCTCCAAGTAGTTTGTTTGATTGATTGCTATGGAAATATGCATAGCAGCAATCCTCGTATATAATTATCAACTTAAATAACGTTACTGAATAATGGAATTAAATAAGCCAAATACGAAAATGGATTTTTCAATATGTATATTTCATACACTCATTGATTTGAACAGGCAATCAGGGAGAAGAAACAAAGTGGGAAAAGCAAATCCAACTAGAGAAGCGAAGAGAAGAGATCAAAGCGAAATGATGCACAATAGAGAAGGCATGTAAGACAATTTCATTTAATCAAGCTTTAATTCATATTTATAGTCAGACAAAAATAAGTTACAGATATGTGATGAATAGGATAAGAATGAAACACAAATACGCTCATATAAAAATAGTCAAGGTTGATAAGAGAATAAGTGACAAGATCAAAATGTGGCTTGAGGAGAATGGTTATATTGGTTTGTCCAGAAGCTAGAATAAATTATGTGAGCTTAATATAGTAACCGACACTACAAGAGAAAAACGATTGTGGAAAACTCAAAATGATGTGTATATATATGGAGAAACAGAGAGTTACATAGATAGATAGATAGATAGACACCGAAATGTTGACTTCAAACTGATTTAAATTTCAATCTTTAGAACAAACTTTAGAACTTTGTAGCCGTGAACAATTTGACAGTAGATATAAAAGTGAATAGTTCATTTCCTTCCGAATAACTGACTATGATTGATTCTATTAAAAAAGTAATTTGATTCTACTGCTCCTGCTTATGAAGTAACATCAACATCGAGAACTGTAGAATAGTGAAAAGCTGTTTCGTCCTGAGTTTAATTTGTAGTGTGGCGTCGAGTCGCGGCTGACTATGATCACCACTACAAGAAGGTTGCGTACCAGATATCAGAAGGCGATTGGAGGTTGTAGCGATATATATTTGTTGGCGATCTCGTGATATCGAAAGAATACCGAGATCGTGCCAAAGGAGTACAAGAGGAATCACTGAGAAGACCTAAGTGCGTGAAAGTTCGCAAGCAACGGAAAAACGTATGTCTTTAATACAGTTAAACAAACAAGTACAGTAAAACAATCACTGGTACAATTGGTTGTAATAATAATAATAATTGTTTCCATTAAACCAATCGTGTTCTCATGATAAAAGTAGGTCACTACACATTATTCCTAATACACATGAACCATTTAAGTTTCAAGAAGAGCATTGTACCATATGTGCAGAAATTCGAACATTTCACTTCTACTTGAAGTTTGTGCTGATGATGGTATTGTTCAGAAGAAGCTCCATGATCAAACCATCCAATTCAAAGAACAGACCTTCATCAAAATTGTCTAATGATTTTTGAACTAGAAAGAAATGATCATTTTACAAAAAAGATAACTGAATGAGTTTCACAACTTTTATCATTTTAATTAGAAACTGTTTTGGTTTGATAAATAAATTTAAGAATGAAAAGTACATTGAAACGTTTTCATATGACTTTATAAGATATCCGACAAAATATGAGTTATTTTCGTCTTATTTAGAACTCGCCAGCTAGTTGTACTTGCATTCCAGAGTTGTTGTTCAACCCCGGGACTCGAACTCATTACCATTCGCTTTAAACACCATCGTTTTATCTACTTAGCTATTGGGCCCTGATATCAACAAGAGACTGATCAACTACAGTCCTAAACAACAATTAGAAGGTTTAAGTAAACAATACCAAATGTCTATAAGGACGCAATAGCTAATTAGATAACATACTGGCGTTTAAAGTGAATAGTATTGGGTTCGAGTCCCATAGTGAACATCAACTCTGAGATACAGGTACATCCAGCTGACGAGTCCCAACTAGGACAAAGTGGCATGTATCCTAGATTCAACTGCTAACCACTATCCATCTTTGCTTAGAATGCTTATGACTTAAGGCTATATTAAGGCAATCCGTCCAAGATGCAAATATGCCAGTCAGTCAGTCAACTACAACGTTGGACCAGGCATATATATGCATCAGTCCAGGTTGCCATACCTCATTAGCACAGCAAGATGAACACCGGATTCATAGGAGTGGTTAAGTCAATAGTGGTAATATATAAAAGAAAGATTGCATATAAGGATATAATAGAGGAAGAAAAAATTCCTTAGTAGAAAGAAAGATATGAAGTGATTTTAATCTCTTAGTTTAAGGGAAGACAGAGAGTATATACACCGACGTCATTGTGGTCGATTCTGAGCCATGTCACCAAGAGTCTCTAACCATTGGTTATGATAGTCACGCGGACTCCAACCAAGTAGTCTGCATCTACCAACATGGCTCAGACTACGAGTTAGTGACTTCAAGCACTGATGCCACGTTTTGGTTTGGCCGCCCCTAACTTTCTTCCAACCATCTCCAAATATGCCGATAAGAGACTGATCAATTACAGTCCTTAACAACAATGGGATAATACAAGCCAATGATACCAAGTGAATATAAGTCATTTTCATAATTATACTCTTAAAAGTAATTCATCAATTTTATATTTAACCTATTGAAAAACCATTGTGATTTATAAAATTGTTTTGTCATTTTGTTTTTTGAAACAAAACCCTAACCCTAATCGGTATGTTGATTTATTCCTTTCTTCAAATAAATCATCTAATTCATAATCAATATCCACTTACATTTCAAATATGATGATATTTGATTTGTTTAAATTTAACATTTAACTGTCTAAAATTTAAACTAAGGTCATTCAAACAATGAACGAATGAATGAATGAATGATGATGGTAGTAGGTAGGTAGGTAGGTAGGTAGGTAGTAGTAATAGTAGTAGTAGTAGTAGTAGTAGTAGTAGTAGTAGTAGTAGTAGTAGTAGTAGTAGTAGTAGTAGTAGTAGTAGTAGGTAGAAGGTAGAGTATCTTTCTTTGGAATTTTCTCAAAACTTTCAGGTCAATCATGGTGTCGAGAAAACATGAATAAAGTTTCGAAAAGAGTAAATCTTATTTTATTAATATATATATATATATATATATATATATATATATTATTGAGCAATTGTTCATCAATGGAATTAAGTTGCCGTGACAACATATCTATATATACAAAAGAGATTTTATTTGTATTCACTATAAGATTGTATTCTATTCAACTAAATTAAATTGATACTATGGAAACGTAGAAAAAGAGAGTAAATTTTAGTTTATTTAGATTTGAAAAAGAAAAGAGAACTCGAAAGAAAGAAAAGAAAATAATTGATATGAATAAAAATTGTTTAGTGTTCATTTTTTATGGTTGAATTAAATTGGATGCTAGCTGATTAGTCAAGTAGGTTAAACGTTCGCACGTGAGACTGAAGGCCCTTGGTTCGAACATGCGAGTTGGGTCGTGGTTGCACACTCCTGAAGAGTCCCACAATAAGACGAAACAACCGTTCAATGCTGCCAGGTTTTCAATAAATTTAGAAAGTTGAAATTGTGTAATAGCCAGGTATTATATCGAGACCACATAGGTTATTGTAGCTTTCAGACTAGTGAGTTTATTCATCCTCCTCAAGCTTTATTTTGTTCTTGTTAATTATTCACTTATCAACACTGACTGATTTTAGATGAGTGTATGTGTGTACATTGCTTATTCTACTCATCATATCTCTGTAGCTTATTTTTGTTTGACTATAAATAGTGATTAACTCCTGATCAAATGGCATTTGTTCACATACCATCTCCATTCCGTTTAGCTTCACTGTCCCTCCTCTTCTCTTTCTTCGCTTCGTTTCTTTGATTATCTGTTTGGATAAATGATTGTATGAAATATATGTATTCAAAATCCATTCTTTTATTTGGCTTATTTAATTCCATAATCCACTGACGCGATTGAAGTCAATGATCATATACGAGGATTGGAGGCATCTATGTTTTGATAGCAAACATAATACATTTTTATTGGAGTCAGATAAAGGGCCACACTAAAAGCGGTGAGCCTGTCAATAACACCATCACCTGATTTAAGTGAAGTCATAATATACAGCCACTAATAGTGATGAACCCCACGACCAAGTTAACGCACCAAGCTACGTCTATGAAGAAACAATATTCCAAATGACAATGAAGAAAATTAAGATAAGTTGACAAGTTGTTTTGTCTATTTCAAATATTCTAATCATTTTATAATAAGAAACTTTGTTAAATAAAATGTAAAATGTCAATATTGACTAATACATATGAACACAGGTTAACTAGTCGGAAGATTTTCAAGCAAATTACACGAATAAATGATTGTGATTTGGATGATGACGATGATGATGATGATGCTTTGGATGATGACGACGATTTGTATGATGATGACGATGATTTGGATGTTGATGACTTGAATGATGGTGTTGATGATGATGATAATGATGATGATGATGATTTGGATGATGATGACGATGACTTGGATGTTGATGACTTGAATGATGGTGTTCATGATGATGATGATGATGATGATGATGACGATGATTTGGATGTTGATGACTTGAATGATGATGTTGATGATGATGATGATGATGATGATGACGATGATTTGGATGATGATGACGATGACTTGGATGTTGATGACTTGAATGATGGTGTTCATGATGATGATGATGATGACGATGATTTGGATGATGATGACGATGACTTGGATGTTGATGACTTGAATGATGATGTTGATGATGATGATGATGATGTTGACGATGATTTGCATGATGATGACGATGACTTGGATGTTGATGACTTGAATGATGATGTTCATGATGATGATGATGATGATGATGACGATGATTTGGATGTTGATGACTTGAATGATGATGTTGATGGTGATGATGATGATGATGATGACGATGATTTGGATGATGATGACGATGACTTGGATGTTGATGACTTGAATGATGGTGTTCATGATGATGATGATGATGACGATGATTTGGATGATGATGACGATGACTTGGATGTTGATGACTTGAATGATGATGTTGATGATGATGATGATGATGACGATGATTTGCATGATGATGACGATGACTTGGATGTTGATGACTTGAATGATGGTGTTCATGATGATGATGATGATGATGATGACGATGATTTGGATGTTGATGACTTGAATGATGATGTTGATGATGATGATGATGATGATGATGACGATGACTTGGATGTTGATGACTTGAATGATGGTGTTCATGATGATGATGATGATGACGATGATTTGGATGATGATGACGATGACTTGGATGTTGATGACTTGAATGATGATGTTGATGATGATGATGATGATGATGACGATGATTTGGATGATGATGACGATGACTTGGATGTTGATGACTTGAATGATGGTGTTCATGATGATGATGATGATGATGATGACGATGATTTGGATGTTGATGACTTGAATGATGATGTTGATGATGATGATGATGATGATGATGACGATGATTTGGATGATGATGACGATGACTTGGATGTTGATGACTTGAATGATGGTGTTCATGATGATGATGATGATGATGATGACGATGATTTGGATGTTGATGACTTGAATGATGATGTTGATGATGATGATGATGATGTTGACGATGATTTGGATGATGATGACGATGACTTGGATGTTGATGACTTGAATGATGGTGTTCATGATGATGATGATGATGATGATGACGATGATTTGGATGTTGATGACTTGAATGATGATGTTGATGATGATGATGATGATGATGATGACGATGATTTGGATGATGATGACGATGATTTGGATGATGATGACGATGACTTGGGTGTTGATGACTTGAATGATGATGTTGATGATGATGATGACGATGATTTGCATGATGATGACGATGATTTGGATGTTGATGACTTGAATGATGATGTTCATGATGATGATGATGATGATGATGACGATGATTTGGATGTTGATGACTTGAATGATGGTGTTCATGATGATGATGATGATGATGATGACGATGATTTGGATGTTGATGACTTGAATGATGATGTTGATGATGATGATGATGATGATGATGATGATGATGATGACGATGATTTGGATGATGATGACGATGACTTGGATGTTGATGACTTGAATGATGGTGTTCATGATGATGATGATGATGATGATGACGATGATTTGGATGTTGATGACTTGAATGATGATGTTGATGATGATGATGATGATGTTGACGATGATTTGCATGATGATGACGATGACTTGGATGTTGATGACTTGAATGATGATGTTCATGATGATGATGATGATGATGATGACGATGATTTGGATGTTGATGACTTGAATGATGATGTTGATGGTGATGATGATGATGATGATGACGATGATTTGGATGATGATGACGATGACTTGGATGTTGATGACTTGAATGATGGTGTTCATGATGATGATGATGATGACGATGATTTGGATGATGATGACGATGACTTGGATGTTGATGACTTGAATGATGATGTTGATGATGATGATGATGATGACGATGATTTGCATGATGATGACGATGACTTGGATGTTGATGACTTGAATGATGGTGTTCATGATGATGATGATGATGATGATGACGATGATTTGAATGTTGATGACTTGAATGATGATGTTGATGATGATGATGATGATGATGATGACGATGACTTGGATGTTGATGACTTGAATGATGGTGTTCATGATGATGATGATGATGACGATGATTTGGATGATGATGACGATGACTTGGATGTTGATGACTTGAATGATGATGTTGATGATGATGATGATGATGACGATGATTTGCATGATGATGACGATGACTTGGATGTTGATGACTTGAATGATGGTGTTCATGATGATGATGATGATGATGATGACGATGATTTGGATGTTGATGACTTGAATGATGATGTTGATGATGATGATGATGATGATGATGACGATGATTTGGATGATGATGACGATGACTTGGATGTTGATGACTTGAATGATGATGTTGATGATGATGATGATGATGATGACGATGATTTGGATGTTGATGACTTGAATGATGATGTTGATGATGATGATGATGATGATGATGACGATGATTTGGATGATGATGACGATGACTTGGATGTTGATGACTTGAATGATGGTGTTCATGATGATGATGATGATGATGATGACGATGATTTGGATGTTGATGACTTGAATGATGATGTTGATGATGATGATGATAATGATGATGACGATGATTTGGATGATGATGACGATGATTTGGATGATGATGACGATGACTTGGGTGTTGATGACTTGAATGATGATGTTGATGATGATGATGACGATGATTTGCATGATGATGACGATGATTTGGATGTTGATGACTTGAATGATGGTGTTCATGATGATGATGATGTTGACGATGATTTGGATGATGATGACGATGACTTGGATGTTGATGACTTGAATGATGATGTTGATGATGATGATGACGATGATTTGGATGATGATGACGATGACTTGGATGTTGATGACTTGAATGATGGTGTTCATGATGATGATGATGATGATGATGACGATGATTTGGATGTTGATGACTTGAATGATGATGTTGATGATGATGATGATGATGATGATGACGATGATTTGGATGATGATGACGATGACTTGGATGTTGATGATTAGAATGATGGTGTTCATGATGATGATGATGATGATGATGACGATGATTTGGATGTTGATGACTTGAATGATGATGTTGATGATGATGATGATGATGATGACGATGATTTGGATGATGATGACGATGACTTGGATGTTGATGACTTGAATGATGGTGTTCATGATGATGATGATGATGATGATGACGATGATTTGGATGTTGATGACTTGAATGATGATGTTGATGATGATGATGATGATGATGATGACGATGATTTGGATGATGATGACGATGATTTGGATGATGATGACGATGACTTGGGTGTTGATGACTTGAATGATGATGTTGATGATGATGATGACGATGATTTGCATGATGATGACGATGATTTGGATGTTGATGACTTGAATGATGATGTTGATGATGATGATGATGATGTTGACGATGATTTGGATGATGATGACGATGACTTGGATGTTGATGACTTGAATGATGATGTTGATGATGATGATGACGATGATTTGCATGATGATGACGATGACTTGGATGTTGATGACTTGAATGATGGTGTTCATGATGATGATGATGATGATGATGACGATTTGTATAATTGTTGAGGACGTTAGATCCTCAGAACTCACTTGGAAAAGAACATAATTTTGTAATTTTATTTATAAAGTTTGAATTTCTTTGTTTTCGCTCCAGAAACGCTCTTTTCATCTTCATGTCGTATTTCCCACTTGGGAGACTCTTAAATGCCATTGGTCCGTTGTGTCTTTTAGTATGCTATTTTGTAACTTTCCCCAATGATGGTTTTGTGCTTTATATATACGTTTTGAGTTGCGTTTGTTGTTATCGCTGGTTTCTGGCTGTTTGAGGAATATACTTCTCCTATTCCAAGCTTGGACTTCTTTCTTTAGTTAGTGGGGCTGGGATGCATCAATAGCTAGCTTATTGTTTTTTGGTCACCGAGTCTTTGTTACGTTCACAGTTTAAGTGAACTCGTAACCGCTTCAAACCTAACAATAATGATGATGATTTTGATGATGATGACGACAACGACTATGTACAAATAAAATTTGATCGACAATGAAACATTTAACACTTAGTTAAACGTTACAGGTCAGAAGTAAACTTTTTTAAAAAAGAAATGTGAAAGTTTTCTCATTTTAATTTGTAATTTTATATGTAATGTGAATACATTGTATTGTATAATGTTATTATAGGTTAGACATTGAAAGCGTTGAATGATGGCCAGCTTATTGGTCTAGAGGTTCAACGTGAGACTGAAGTTCCTCGGTTCGAGTCCTGCAAGCGGGATCGTGGATGCACATTGTTGAGCAGTCTCGTACTGGGATGAAATGGCCATCCAATGCTTCCAGGTATTCAATGGTGGTCTAACATCAATCGGTTCATGATCTTAATCAGAAACTATAAGTTAAGAGATGTGATGTTTTTTTAATGCCATATAACGCGAAATGAACTATATGGATCATCTACACAAATAATGAAACTGATGACTGATGACTTTATTCATAATATGTTGTCTTCAAGAACTGAATATATTCTCATTAGATATACCTAATTTATTGGACTTTTCAGTTAGCATGTAGCAGGCCCATTCAACTATTGTATTATTTAGCTGCTCACTGTTATTTAGACACTTAATCCACCATGTTAATCTCTGTATGAGTCTGATTGAGCACATGTCAATTTTTAATCTATTCTCCCATTGGTTGTAATACACAGATAATCAATAATTTATCCATACTTGATTAACACTCATAAATATAAATGGATTTTTAACACTCACACACCTATACACACTTGGTTTCCTTGTGTGCTTGCTTTCTGTACGCTGGACGGATGTTTCGTCCTATTGCGGGAATCCTCAGCAGTGCGCATCCACGATCCCGCTAGTGAGATTTGAATCCAGGACCTTCAGTCTCGGGAGGGAACGCTTAACCTACTGGATCACTGAGCCGGCATCTAATGGTGTTAGTGTCTAACATCAACCAATCCACGAAATCGAGCGACACATCCACCATTATCTTCAGTGAGTTATTATCTCACAACAGGCCTGGTTGAACTCCACTGGTCACTGCTTCTCATTAGAATTCTATGGAATACCACTTGAAGCCAGTCACTTGTGAGGGTATGTTGATTAGTATAGGAGGAGGTTTTGTTGATGTTATAATAATTTTAATAGTTAAGTTCATGAGTCGATTAAAGCTACGCCACCATGGAATACCTGGAAGCACTAGATGGCCGTTTCGTCCTATTGTGGGACTCCTCAGCAGCGCGTTCTTACGATCCCACCTTGTGAGATTCGAATACATTAAACATGTATGAATAATGTATTATGCTAAGAATTAAGATAAAGATATGATTATAAGATTTATGCATTATATCTTATGTCATTTTGTGACAAAGTCTTTAACCCTAACATCCAATACTTATGCTTCATATTAATTCTTAAGCCTGATTTAATATTTAGGGCATGATGTTTATTGTTCTTTATTGGCTTAAGCATATACCATAAGTTTTAATGATGCAATTACTTTTATCTTTGGCTTATTCATGTCTAATGTTGTTGTTTTTTTATCTGCACGGTTAACAGATACTACTAATTTATATTTTAAAGTGATTTCAAATTTTGCATTCAGTTATGTAATCATTACTGATGTTTCCATTAACATTCAAGGATGCTGACAATTTATGAAATTTATTAGTTCAGTGAGGTTTCAGTCACTTATTCTTAGATGTTGCTTAAATTGAGCATAGAATCTTCAAATGTTACGATGAAGCAATTGTTTAAGTACTCTAATCAACTTACTTACTTACTTACGCCTGTTACTCCTCGTGAAGGAGCATAGTCCGCTCACCAGCATTCTCTATCCAGCCCTGTACTCTAATCAAACAAGAATATATTATGTCCTAGAAGTTAATCATTTGTGTACATACAATCATTTGATATTGACACGATGTTTTCTAACATTGATTTAAAATTTGATCTCATATGGAGTTTTAACACTGTATTATTGAGGTGTCGCACGTTAAAATCGAAGGTGATCGACTAATTTATGGATTTAATTGACTTACAACTTCATATTACTTAATAACTATAATTACTATCCCGCGAGCGGGATTGTGGATGCGCACTGCTGAGGAGTCCCGTAGTAGGACGAAACGGCCGTCCGGTGCTTCTAGGTTTTCAATGGTGGTCTAGCTTCAATTGACTCATGATTTCAATCAAAAACAAATATTTCATCAAACTATCGAAATACTTCTTAGTACATGGTTAATTTTCGTCAGTCAGTGATTTGAGTTTAAAGTCGGTTCATATTTTCAGTTCTAACAATCGATTAGTTATAAAATAGGCTATATATTATCACTGTAGTAAATATTTTGTTCAGATACTTCCTTTACACTCCTATTACTGATTCATTGATAGTGTTGCTTAAGAGTTATAACTTCAGTAATGTCGATATTTTAGGAACTTTAGTTATCTATGACTTTGTCATAGCCTTTCCCATATTTTTGTCGACAAATTTCATTGGATGATTGTTGATATCAATTCAGTTGTGGATATAACTTAACTCATCTTCATCATAGTAGATAAACTTTTCAATAGGTCTCTTTTGAACCTAAGAATTACAGAACTGTAAAATGAACATGTTAACCATTGAATGTTGGTTTTCAGACGTATACTTCTTTTTCTTCTGGTTCCATTTAATCGTCTTGTTAATAAGATGTCTAAAATGAAATCACTACCACAACATACTTTTTCTAGTGTAGAGATGATAAACAGATGGATACAGTTAAATATTTTAAATATACTTACCTTGTCCATTATATCAGTAAACAGTATCACAGTATTGTCAGTATTCAGAATCAGATTTGTGTAGTGAGGACAGAAGGCCTACGACCTATGTTATTCCTTTTCTAGTATGCTTCTATAAGCGTCCAGTCTTCTCTTGAATGAATCAATTGAAGGTGCGGATACCACTGTTTCGGGTAATAGGTTCTAAGAATTGATGGCTCGGTATGCAAACCTGCATGCCACGAGTTGTGTAGGAAAAATAGTTGTTGGTCACTTTTCGTTTTTTTCTAGTGAACCATTCATTATTTCTACCAGAAAAGCATCATTCAGATGTGAGTCTAGTGGTGAATCCAGAGCAACCAAACCCCATATCTCTGTAAGATTTGTTAGTAAGTTGAAAATGTACGTTTATTATGTTTACGCTGGATATGACTGATGTTCATTGAGCATCTGAGAATTGTTCTTCTTAGCATAGCAACAGGAATTCCAGTTTGTATTTACTTCCAACAAGTTCATTGTATATGAAATCCACTATATTTAGTAAAACCGTGCCCCGGATTTCGGGGCTTTTCGACTTTTCGACCAGAAACATATAACAATCAGATGGTGGTTGGATGTAGTCGACAGGAAACCTGGGCGCGAGTTTCGTGCTACTTGGCACTCGTCAGCAAGGTATACCTGTAATCTTGAGAGAACTGGTGCTCCCTAGCGTATTCGAAACCCGAGTCCAGGGTTTCCTGTAGACTACCTCTAACCACCATATAATCTCACAATAGTGCATGCGGTGTCGAGTCACCTAGGCTGGTGGCCACATTGCGACATGGTCGATAGCATTCGATCTGCACTAATAAGGACTAAACACGTAATCAATTGTGACAAATAACAATTATCTGAACCTGCAGTTTCTTTCATATTAAACAGGATTACCATAGCAACGACCAGATTGTACTTCACTGATCTACTCATTAGTAGAGTATAACTAATCTGTCTCACATTTCAGACAAACGAACTAAAATTATATCTTTTTGTTTGTTCTTATATGAATGAGTCTTTTAATTTGTTTTCTTTTTGTAAATTTTATCTGATATGTCACTCTGTACCTACGTTTTGTGAAATTTCACTACGTCATCCAGTAGTATCTTTTCTTTTTATCTAAATAATCTTTTCTGTCTATTCAATTTCAATCAAAACTCATTATAACTGGTTTTGAAATTATATAAATTCTCTTTTAATAGTTGAATTCATGAATTGATCTAAGCTAGATTATCTTTGAAAATTTGAAAGCAATGAATGACCGTTTTATCCCAGTATGAGACTTTTCAGCAATACGCATCCATGATCTGTGACGTGGGACTCGAACTCAGACTAACCTCTAGACTATTGAGCCGACATTTAACGGTGTTAATGTCTTACTTCAATCGATCCATAATCTTTTGTTTTCTCAGTAGAATATCTTTCAAATCATATTTACCGTTTAGACATTCAAAGAACAGATTTAAATCTTTCGACATTATCATTTGACAAAGGTATACTCCTTCCTGTTTTCAAACTACGTAAAGATTTAGATATTTTTGAAGTCAATAAAAAGAGTCACGAAAGTAAATAACTCCATTTTATACTGATAATCACGCTGTGCTCGTGAATGTCTAAATTAATTCATTTTTATGCGAACGTAAAGACATGGATTGGTGAAGTAAGGGCCGCTTTCCTACAATTAAGGAACATATGGAACTCGGAACAACTGTCAACCAATATCAGAGTTAGAATTTTCAATACGAACGTCAAAACGATTGA